CTGCGCCTTTTCATAAGATTGCAGCAGTGATTGCATATTGCCACCAACTACTAAAAAAACACAGCACTCTTAGCCGGGAGTGTAAGTCTAACATCAATTTGTTGAAATTGGACATAGCTGGGCTTGGGTCTTATAAAGCCGTAGATAAATAAATGTCAAGAGCATGTGTAAAATGGTTGTCATTTCCTACTGCAGCAGTGTGCTCATTTTGTGGAGCATGGTCATCCAACTCACCCCATTTCCAATTATTTTATTTGCATTTCCCGGCAACTACTGCAGATGCAAATATCCGCCACCCTTGAGAGCGTAAAATTAAGGCTTATTCATCCATCTTCATTGCCTCTGTTCCCTGGAGATGAGAAAGTTCCAACTCTGCTCTGTGTTATATATGGAAACATCCTCTGTGAAAAGTGGATTGGAGAAGGTGTTCAGAGATACGGCTTTTCGGGGGATAAAGAAAAATTAGCTTGGTTATCAAACAGCAAAAAATATTTATCTTACACTTTTAGTAGTTGTTGCTCATAAGTATGCTAGGAAGTATGCTAGTGGACTATGGAGAGCTTGGGTCCTATTTCTGATATAGCTGTTCAAAGGCTCTTTGCATAATATTCTAGACGTTTTATGCTTGGAAATAGAGGAATGCATATAACATACCAAGACTCACTGTCCATAAACAGAGAGAGAGAAAGAGAGAGAGAGAGAGAGAGAGAGAGAGAGAGAGGAAGGAAGGAAGGAAGGAAGGAAGGAAGGAAGGAAGGAAGGAAGGAAGGAAGGAAGACTATTAGATTTTGCTCAAAGTTGCAACCTGTTTTCATATTGTTACACTTGACCCCACTTCCGGCAGTGGTGAAAAGTTCCAGGTTTCAGCACTTACCCAGGTTTGGTTTCCTTTGGAGACATAATGGCATTTTGTAATATTTGTGTTCATTTTCAAATATATGTGCTGAGCATAGATGGAGGCACAGCTGAAGGGCTCCATCAGACAACTGAAGCCCTCTGCTTCCACATCAGACCTCAGGGTCTCCTCCAGATGTCCTTTTGGTCATGCAAGCTATTGCCAAACGTATTGCTCTGCTTTCCTTTGGACCACATCAGTGAGGGCAAGAGGGGTGTCTTGTCGCCTGGGCGCCCTAGGACTTCCATACACACTGCCCAGGCAGGTGGCTTTGGTGTTGCTAACACAGTGGTTTAGCTTCACCCCTGAAAGTGCACTTCATTGTTTCAAAATACAGAAGGATGCCAACAACAACATCATTATTACCTCAGGTGGCGCAATGGGTCAGTTCATCTGGCTGATAACTGGAAGGTTGGTGGTTCAAGCCCACCAAGGGATGGTTGTGGGCAGGATCAGACCAGTGCAGGGAGCTGGACCAGAAAACCCTCAGGATCTCTTCCAACTTAACCATCCTATCATTCTATGATTTGTGCTCATGATGGTAAAGGTAAAGGGACCCCTGACCGTTAGGTCCAGTCGCGGACGACTCTGGGGTTGCAGCACTCATCTCACTTTATTGGCCAAGGGAACCGGCGTACAGCTTCCGGGTCTTGTGGCCAGCATGACTAAGCCGCTTCTGGTGAACCAGAGCAGTGCACGGAAACACCGTTTACCTTCCCGCCAGAGCGGTACCTATTTATCTACTTGCACTTTGACGTGCTTTCGAACTGCTGGGTTGGCAAGAGCAGGGACTGAGAAACGGGAGCTCACCCCGTCACGGGGATTCGAACCGCCAACCTTCTGATCGGCAAGCCCTAGGCTCTGTGGTTTAACCCACAGCGCCACCCACATCCTGCTCATGATGGTAGCAGGGCATTTGTACATGATCCCTCTTTCAATACTCTTTGTGTCTGCAAAAGGGCAGACATACTGCTTGATTTCCAGTTAGCGCATGCCCTATAACTTTCTGCTGAAAACTTGTAACCTTTTATGCCACAAATGTCCTGAGCCATTTTTTGTCCCTGCTATTGTGTAAGAGTCCCCCTCCAGATGGCAATAATGCAGTAACATTGGGGGAGCATCGCAGAACAACTAATAAAGTGAAATGAGATGTGGATGATCCAGTAGAAATCCACCACTAATTCACTAGTATTGCCTCAATGACATGTCACAGAATACTTCCACACACAAAACAACCCATCTGGAGGGGCCCACAGTCAGCCCCATCAGGTATTTTCATTCTACTGGAGAATCTGTTGCTTGCTAGTGTTTTTGTTTTTTACTGCAATCCTATGTACACTTACTCAGGAGTAAGCACCGTTATACACAATGGGGCTTCCTTCTATATAAATATGCATAGAATCTAGTTGCACATGAACATTTGCAAAATGTATAGGGGGGAAAAAATTAAAATATCAATTAAAAAACAAACAAACAACCATCGAGCAATTATTATATTAATGTTTTCAACTTTATTTTTGAAAGTCACCTTGTTGGGAGGCTAATCAATCTTTGCCAGTAAACTGCTAAGGGAAAATGATCACTTGTGTATTTTTGGCTGTTCCTTTTTCTTTGTCTCACAGGAAGCTTCAAGTTAGTTCCAGGTTCAGATGATATATCAGCTGTAATTAACATCCAGCCTTGAAAATAGAGCTTTATGGCTTTATCCAAAATCCTCCTGCTGTTGTTCTCACATAAGCACCTTGTTCTTCCCATAAGCACCTTGTTGTCCACTATGACAACAGGATACTGGCCTAAATGGGTTGTTGGCCTCATCCTGCAGGCACTTCTGGTGTTTTCCTTGTCCACCCCTAACCAGAGTTAAATAAATAAAAGGCGACTAAAAACCCCCTCTGCTTTCCAAAAGGTAACGGGATTAGTTGATACTTTAACATTGCAGACAAGTGAACAAACTACAGTGGTACCTCAGGTTACAGACGCTTCAGGTTACAGATTCCGCTAACCCAGAAATAGTATCTTGGGTTGAGAACTTTGCTTCAGGATGAGAACAGAAATCGTGTGGCAGCAGCGGGAGGCCCCATTAGCTAAAGTGGTGCTTCAGGTTAAGAACAGTTTCAGGTTAAGAACGGACCTCCGGAATGAATTAAGTACATAACCAAAGGTACCACTGTATTACAAGTCTTATTTGTCTGGGTGTGCCGTTCAGGCAGCAATCCTAAGCACATTGTGTGCATAGCAGGGCCAGCCCAATATATTTTGGCACATGAGTCAGCCCCCAAAATTGTGCCCGCCATGGAAGAAGGGTTGAGGGAAGTCCTACATTAGGGAGAAAAGGGGGGGATCAACATTGGAATCTGCTGCCCCTGTAAATTTTGCCATCAAAGATGGTTGCCTCCCCCTGCCTTATGGGTGGACCAGTCCTGGTGGATAGTGTAATTTTGCTACTTGGTCACTAGATGGCACTAGGCTTGGTTATATCTGGCTAGAGTCAGCAGTTTTTGTTTCCTTCCTGTCTAAGAGAAACAATCAACCTTGTCTAGCTTCCTTACTGGTATGTCTTCCATGACACATAAGTTTCATTTGAAAGAATGGATCACTTCCCAGAAGACAGAATACTGCTTAGTGCCCTGGGGCTGATTCATGGGTTGAGGAAGTATGCTGATCCCACCTGCTGAAGCCTTAGGGTTAAGAGAGCTCAGTGGAGTTATTTCCCCACCTGTGCCCATACTAGCAGAATCTCTGCAGGGCAGGGCTTTGCCAAGCTGGAAGACAGCTTGCATGGACTTCATGCAGTCTTCATGCATGGACTGCTACTGCTAGAGAACAGGGTCTGGCTGGCTGGCTGAACTTGCACCCCAAAACAAAAGAGAATGTGCAGTTTTCCTGAGGCTGATGACATAACCTTTATAAATTCCTCTTCCAAGTCTGTTTATCTGTTTATTTATTGGGAGTCATTCTGGACTCACAGCTGTCCATGGAGGCGCAGGTCACTTCTGTGTCCAGGGCAGCTGTCTACCAGTTCCATCTGGTACGCAGGCTGAGACCCTACCTGCCCGCAGACTGTCTCGCCAGAGTGGTGCATGCTCTGGTTATCTCTCGCTTGGACTACTGCAATGCGCTCTATGTGGGGCTACCTTTGAAGGTGACCCGGAAACTACAACTAATCCAGAATGCGGCAGCTAGACTGGTGACTAGGAGCAGCTGCCAAGACCATATAACACTGGTCTTGAAAGACCTACACTGGCTCCCAGTACGTTTCCGAGCACAATTCAAAGTGTTGGTGCTGACCTTTAAAGCCCTAAGCGGCCTCGATCCAGCATACCTGAAGGAGCGTCTCCACCCCCATCGTTCTGCCCGGACACTGAGGTCCAGCGCTGAGGGCCTTCTGGTGGTTCCCTTGCTGCGAGAAGCCAAGTTACAGGGAACCAGGCAGAGGGCCTTCTCAGTAGTGGCACCCGCCCTCTGGAACGCCCTCCCACCAGATGTCAAAGAGAAAAATAACTACCAAACTTTTAGAAGACATCTGAAGGCTTTTAGGGAAGCTTTTAATGTTTAATAGGTTATTGTATTTTAGTGTTTTGTTGGAAGCCGCCCAGAGTAGCTGGGGAAACCCAGCCAGATGGGTGGGGTATAAATTATTATTATTATTATTATTATTATTATTATTATTATTATTATTCTATCTAGGCAGGTTGAAGTTATTTCCCCCCCTCCCCATTTCACAGCCAGAAACAGTAAATATGTGTACAGTACTACAGTTACACAATTCCAGTTGCAGAATCTAGCATTTCTGGACGCAGAATTCGGGAGGAATTTATTGACGGTGAAGCGACCGAAGCGCCGTATTGATTCCACGCAGCCAGTGTAAAGTTAGACACGACTTGATCGACTGCGAAGGGGAAGCAAATGAGCCTGACTCCCCCACGTGGGGCTGAAAATTCAACTAGATAGTCCATCCCCGTTGACGGGTTCTTCTTCTTTTTCTAGGAATCCCAGCAGAGCGCGCCTCCCACCCCCGGACCCAAATTGTGGGCGGGGCTAGGAACTTGGAAAGGCGTGATTGGCTCGGCGGAGGCTTTAAATGATTTGGAGGGCTGCAAGCTGCGCCTGGGAGGTGGAGCTTCAGCGGAGCCTGTTGCTTGCGCGGGGCTGGCGAGCTGCGCGGCGAGGAGAGACGCAGAAAGCTGGAGGGAAATTGCCCTCATCGCTTTCTTCCCCCGTACGCCGCCGATGCAGCAGCGCTTCCCGATTTTTAAAAAATAATTTTATTTTTTGTTAAACCTCCTCAATCCCTCTTAATCCGAACGCGCAGCGGCCGTCCCCTCTGAAGTTCCCCGATGCCCACTTTCCCGCAGCTCGCTGCTCTTCTGCAGCAGCGCCAGCCCGGGACGGGCAGCTGAAGACCTGCAGCCGGCGGCTTTCGACCTCGGAGCCCCGCCGAGATGACCCCGAGCGCAGCGTGGCTCGTGTGCATCCTTGGCAGCCTGGTGGTCTCGCCCAGCGCGCCGCTGCAACTTCAGCAGGGCATGTGAGTGGAGCGGACGGGTCTTTTTTTCCTTAGAAGGGGGAGTTGGTTGCTCAGAGTCTTTTTGCATCTTGTTCTGTGCGGGGAGGGAAACGGAGCGGGGGCGGGTCACTTTGATCCCCGCACAAAGGGTGGAATGTCTTGGAATTCCCGTTTTGTTCCCTACCCCGTCTCTAAAGCTGCTATCCTAACCCCATTCACCTGGGCTTATGCTCCTCTTAATTCAGCTGCGCTTAGTCCTGAGTTTCGGCATTGCAGCATCAGAAGACTTTTTATTTAATCACGGAATTGTAGAGTTGCAAGGGTCATCTAGTCCAACCCCCCTGCAATGCTGGAATTTCAACATGCGACCCTCCCCCCATCCAATTTGAAAGCACACCCGTCCCTGCTTAGCACTGCAAATGTATTAGCAGTTTTATTGGGAGAGCATCTGTTGTGCATGCAGAAGTTTCCAGGTTCAATCCCCAGTGTCTCCAGGTAGGGCTGCCTGAAATCTGTGAGAGCCGCTGTTCACCATTGTAGACAATATTGGGCTAGATGGAGGTCTGTCTCAGTACAAGGCAGGAGGTTCCTGTGTTCCTGTGAATGAGGAAGGTTAATAAAAGGGCGCTGTTGCTAAAGTGAGACCGTCCCTATAGGACTCTGCTTCCTGCCAAGTTTGTCCATCCATTCTATTCCCGATATTGTCACGTCTGATGGGCAATGGCTGTCCAAGGTCGCAGGCAGAGTTCTTGGGCAGAGCCACCCCATACATTCAAAGCACTTCCAGCTACACATTTAAAGCACATGCATTACAAACTGTAGTTTGTTAATGGTGCTGGGAATTGTAGTTCTTCCAGGGGAAGCTACAGTTCCCAGGATTCTTTGGGGGAAGTCATGTACTTCAAACATGCGTTTTATGTGCTTTAAGTTTATGGTGTGGCAGATGTCGGGAATTGAACCAGGAACTTCTTGAATGCAAGATACGGAGGTAAGCATTGAGGGGAGGTGATTTTTCAGGATTTAATAGACTAATCATGTGCAAGTTTATCTGCGGCATTCTGCTTTAGTAAATTAAGGCATCCTTGCTCTTTGGGAGCAAGGGAAGTTTTACTCCCTTTAGTCAGTAAGCATTTTTCAGACAAAGGACCAGATTCAAGTAAGTTGTTGTGCTAGCAGAAACTAGTGCAACGGGTCTTGAGCCCCTCTCCTTCCCCTGCATGATTTCTCCGCCTCCCCCTGCCCTTTATTATCTCCAAATCTGCTTGGGAGAGTCAGGAGAAACCCTGGAATAGCAGGTTTGTGTAGAGGGGAGACAGCAGATTGTCCGGCAAGCAGGAATGCTTGCACTGATGGAGCAGTTGCCTTAGCGCGACACTGAATTCCTCCCAAAGTACTTAAGGCGGTATCTCACTTCAGTTCTAAATGCCCTCATTTTGTGGACTCTTGTTGGCTTCTGTGGAATTCATGCATTTTGCGTCTGTGCTGACAAGAGTGATCCTTTGGTCATGGCTGAGAAAAGCATACTGTATAAGCATTTCCGTGTGGAGGTGTGGTGGAAAACCCTGATGAGTTGTGGCTTCTAGCTCTTTGCATGTGTAACAGAGATTCACATTGTGCACTCCTTCCATGTGATTTGTTTTTGGTGTTTGCTGTGAGCACGCACCAAAAACAAAGTGAATTCTTTTGTTAGACCCTTTGGGAACAGCCATAGCTCTGTGGTAGAGCATCTGCTTTTCATGCAGAAGGTCCCAGGTTCAGTCCTTGGAATCTCCAGGTAAAGCTGGAAATGCCTCCTACCTGAAACCTTGGAGAGCCACTGCTCTACTAAGCTACATGGACCAATACTCCCTCTTTCTAAAAGGCAGATTCCTGCATTGGGTTTCTTGAGTGATGGTGTATGTAGGAAGGAAGCTAGGGGAGGGAGGCGCTGAGCTTCCATCAAACGTGTTTACAGTTGCAACATTGCATGCAATCTGCTTTTGCTTGTTTTTGCTTTCAAGTGATATGTAGCGACTTTAATTTTATTCCAGACAGACCAAGAGTACAGTGGTACCTCAGGTTACATACGCTTTGGGTTACAGACTCCGCTAACCCAGTAATAGTGCTTCAGGTTAAGAACTTTGCTTCAGGATGAGAACAGAAATCTTGCTCCGGTGGCACGGCAGCAGCAGGAGGCCCCATTAGCTAAAGTGGTGCTTCAGGTTAAGAACAATTTCAGGTTAAGTACGGACCTCCGGAACGAATTAAGTACTTAACCCGAGGTACCACTGTATTCTAAATGCTACGTCCTTTGGGCAGGACACATACATGGCATGCCATCATGGTTAATTATCCAACAGTATGCCTTTATTGCTATCCTTATAGTCAGAGTCTAAGGTTCTGTGCAGACACGGCGGTCCAGATCGCCAAACCACTGTTTAGGGTTGCAGGGGTTTGCATCCCTTCACTCCTCCCCTTTTCTGCACAAATTTCTTCCTCCCCATAGCTTACTTTAATTGCAGCTTCCCAGTGACATTAATCATTGTTTGGAGGCAAACCCTCTTCAAACCATGGTCAGTGCCGATACCAACACAACTGCTTGAAGAAAACCATAGGAAGGGAAGAGGTAACTCGTCACCAGTGTGCACAAACCCATAGCATGTCGCTGATCTTCTGGCTTTGGAGACAGGACACATTTCATCTTCTGCAATAAAATGATCGAATTGCTCTTAATGATAATTTCAGTATGTGCTTCATATATGCAGTGGTGATTTGAATTGGCCGTTGTGACAAGAGGTTAGAATCAGGAGGGCTGTAATTATGCTGCATTAATTAACTGGAGTCAAAGAGTGTGGCATTGTGCCTGCTGTGTGAAGTGCCTTGCCTGTTCTTGTGTGTTACCTAATGCTTGAGTGACACTGTCTGGTCTATACTGCAGCCTACAATCGAGGTCAGCCCCATGGCAAAAAGTTTAATTGGATTTCTTTTCTTGACAGCTGCTTTGTGCAATAGCTGCAGACTTCAGGTCTCCGGAGGTTATTGAACAGAGAAACGATTAGGGAGATGTGTAACTTTGCGGTGAGGGCGGGGGGGGGGGAGAAGGGAAGAGGGAGCAGGCTGCTGTCTGTACCTCTCGCAACCATCTTTAGGCAGAATTATTCTGGGGAGCGTCTAAAGGGCAGGTTCACAGTTTCAAACTGCTTTTGTTGATATTAGGAGTCATAGATTGTCACTGCATCTTTAGCACCCCATTATAGTGCTCCTATTTTGGGACTGTGTCATTTTTTAATTTCCTTTTCCCCCTGTGACCAATATCTACAGCTTTCCATTGGGAAATGTATATTGGCTTTTTGTATTATTATTTTTTACATGCAATAGCATAGTCCTCACCTGTGAACCTTATGGACCTTTGAAAATAAATTTGGGTAGAGGTCTACTAATAAGTCAGGACTCATAATTAGGTCACAGACGAACCTAACATGGCTCTCACCAGGGCTATGTCCCATTTTTAATGGTTTTTTTCTGGTAACTTTCATTTTCTTAAAAGTAGGGAAAGGAGAGACAACAGCAGAAACTAGGGAGCACAAAGGGAGGGAAAGTGTACAGTGGTGCTTTGGTTCTCAAATGCCTTTGTACTCAAACAACTTGGAACCCAAACACTGCAAAACTGGAAGTAAGTGTTCTGATTGTGAACTTTTTTCAGAAGCCGAATGTGCTCCATTTTGAGTGCCATGCTTCTGTCCTGAGTATCACACTTCCATTTTGAGTGTTACGCTGAGGTCTGTCTGTTTTTGCTATTTATTTTGCGTTTTTGTTTTTGCGGCTTTTTTGTTTTGTTTTTGTGACTGTATGGAACCCAGTTTGGCTACTGATTGATTTGATTGTGTGACTGCAGTACATTGTTTATTGCTTTCATTTTATGGATCAATGGTCTCATTTGATAGTAAAATTCATGTTAAATTGCTGTTTTAGGGGTTTTTTTAAAGTCTGGAAGTGATTAACTCATTTTGCATTACTTTCTATGGGAAAGCGCGCCTTGGTTTTGGAACGCTTTGGTTTTGGAACGGATTAAGTTTGAGAACCAAGGTACCACTGTATCACTCCCCATGATCCCTAGCTAGCAGGACCAGTGGCCAGGGATGCTGGGAATTGTAGTCTGAAAACATCTGGAGGGCCGAGGTTGAGGAAGCCTCTTTTAGGGTATTTATGTGAGGCGCTTAACAAAGATTGATGACTCATGTGGTTACTGTTGCGACCAGTTTCGTATTCTGATTATTGAGTGATAATTGCCGTTAGCATGCACCTAGCACATTGAACTTCAGGGTTGTTTTCTTCTGAGATAACTAAAATCTTTTTGGAGAGTCCCACTCCTGAGTGAGAACATATGAAATTAGTGTGGTAACATATCTTTTAGTCTTCACCTTTCTCCTAATATTAAAGGCCGGGGCTATCATTTCCTAGTGTGAGGGCAGGGAAACCTCTGGCCTGGGGGCAAATGCAGCCCTCAAGCCTCTCTCTGTGTTGCCCATGGGACTCTCCACAGCCACAGCCCTTCAACGTGCCTGCTTTGTACCAGCATTGAGTGGTTTTGCCTGGCTGCAGTGGGTCCTTGAACTCAGATAGGGTCTCATTTTTTGCCTGGGGAAGGGCAGAGAGGTTGTATTTGCCCTGCGGAGACACCAACCTTTTGTTTTAAGGTCAAAATCTCCATTTGTTGCTCTTCCCACTTTTGCCTCTGGACCCACCTACCACTGGAATGTGGCCCCTGGATGCTTGCCCCAAAGGGTGAGAGGCCCTCAGGCTGTAAAATGGTTTCCCACCCCTCTCCTAGTCATGTCCTCTGGGAGGCAAACCTGGATGTGATGTTTTTCTACGATAAAGATGCTGAGAGGTGACGGCTTTGTATTTTAACGATTTTAAAGATTTTATGACACAATCTGAGGTAAATAGTGGCAGTTGCTTCCCGCGTTACTTGCTACATTAACCTTATTGCAACTATCTAAAGAGGTGGCGTGCTTTGGAGCAAAAGTGGCCTGGAATAT